ACGATGCGTTTTAGGCTACTTTTCACATGTTTTGTTTTTATTCAAAGCTGCTGAAAAAATGAGTGGCTAAGTAAATAATTTTGTGGTCTGTTCCCGAAATATGGAATTCCACCGTTGAGACTACTATGCTGTTAGTCACTCCAGGATTAGGCTACTTGCCGCAACTGTTGCTTCCATTCGTGCAGACAAGGTTGTCATGAATTCCAGAACTCACATGTGTGCATACACTGGCTTCTGCATTTGCATTGTGTGGCGCGGTTTCCTTGCAGTGTTTATGCTTTTCTCCTGTCTAAGCTGATCGTGCTTCCAAGCTGGAGGGAGGTACTGCAGCTGTAATGCAGAAAAAGTCCCTGCTAATCACCGCAGTCCTATTTGCATTCTGGCACAACACCCTCCTGGGTACATGCCAGTGTTCAATTAAAAAAAAGAAAAGCTAAATTAAGCTTCTCCTTGTGAGTTCATAAAAATATTTCGGAACTCGGTCTGAATCCTTGGCTCACAGGGGTGTATTTTTAGTTCTCTGCGTGAGCTTGTATTTACTGCACGTACAGTTGAAGTATTTCATCCCAGCAGGGTTATGGAGGGAGGTAGGAAATGTTCTGAATTAAAGGAGGACTATCATGGCTGGGAAAGTTGGGTGTTATTATTTCAATATATCATGAAAAAAGCTCCTACGACTTTTGTTTTTTTTTATTTTATGTATTTCTTTAATTTTTATGAGCGATTTTACAAAACTAGTGGACCGCGCCATTTTCACCACAGTAGACGAAAATTCACCCTCGATCCGCTTGGGGCGCCCCCAGTCGTGACGTCAGTGCGGCTGTCAGCGCCATGAATTTCCATTGTCCTGCAGTCCTGCATTGATATTGTTGAATGATGGAGATATTCCCGCTTCCTCTATGGGGCAGACAGACGAGCTTGATTATTACCTTTTTCTATCCGACACAACTTTAATTTAGAGGTGAACTAACATCAGAGGCCATCTGAAATGCTTCCGGAAAGAAAAATGCGATTTGAAGTCTGCTAATTACCAGCGAGGCTAGACAGCTGCCGTCACCTTGGCATAATTAGCTCACCTTAAATCAATTCCCTAGTACTTTGCCTAGCTTGTAATCAAGCCATTTATTCAGCCAACTGACCAATCAAAACCAAAATCAAGCCGATAATGATTTAGAAGAGATAATGAGAAGCAGACAAACCAAACCAGGCTACCGTGTTAGATTGGAATAATGTCAGTAATCTGAATAAATAGCAGACCTCTGAATTCCACCTCTCGTCGGAAAACTTTCACGTATTATTAAAAAAGATTTCTTAAAAATAAAATCATGTTAAGATGGCCCAGGTTTTTAAGCATCTAAAAATATACGCGAAGTAGAAAACATTGTGTGAAGCGCATCTAACGTGAATGTGAGAGAAATTATTTTCGCATTGCAAGCAGTGGACAAATGCACCGAAGACAGGGCAAGCACGTTCAGGCAAATCTGTGCCGCAAATTTTAAACATTTTTTATTTAATAATTGAACAAGATCCGCACACAACGGCCAAATGTAATAATCAAGCAAACGCATTCAGGCAAACTGCATGCTGAACTAAGCAAAGTTAAGGTCTTCAAAATCATCCTCCTCCACTCGACAATTGCTTTCACCCCCTTCCCATTTACTTGGCTCAGTTTGCAATCAAACAGTTGATTCGCTCAATGAACAATTTTAAATTGGTTGGTAGTCTAATTTATTTAGATATCCATGTATTCAGACATTTTGACATCGCATGCATCATGCACATGAATGCATGTGGCAGCCGCAGTGACGTTATGATCTCGCAAATTCTCATGCCACTTGTGGCGTTAATGGCGGCCTCCTGGAAACAACAATTCCGGCTAATTAATGGTCATTTAAAAGAACAGGGGGTATGTATGGACAAAAAATCGACCGTGGATATTATGTTGGAGTTAATTACTATAAGATTAAGTCAAAACGTGTAGGTCAGTATGGTCCTCCTTTAACAATGTTGAGAAACAAAATTGCGAAGTCACTTTTCTCTGTGTATCAGGGAGGTGACTCTTCTTTCATTCAGTGATATGTGGATTCACTGCAGAGGTCCAGGGGTCCAAAGTGTTAACATATATGCTTCATATGTCTGTGAACTCAGCTAGTTGGTTTTGCTTCTTAAGTTCTACCTTTTGTCTGAAAAATTTGAATATTTTGCAAATTTGATGGGAGAAAATTCCGGAAAGTACTAGCTTTTCAGACTTTGATTTTCCACCTCAAAAGCACAGCAAAGCTGAAACATGAATGACTGATGTTCCCTCTCTCCTGTAGGAGCTGGAAAGCTTCAAGGCCTTTGTGAAGCGGAAACCAGCCTTCGATGTAGTCGTGGACGGCCTCAATGTAGCCAACGTCTCCGTCAAAGGGTGTCAGTCTGAGACGGTGAGTTTTTAACATTCAAATTTAGTTTTAGCATCTCTTCCCGTCTGTTGAGACACTCCTGAATGTGGAAAATGAAGTGAACTAAAATTAGTGATTCTGTGTTTTCCTCCGTGACTGGGCCCTGTACTTCATAGTATGCACTTCAGCCAAATGCTTCCAGTGCCCTCACAACACACATTTCAATTCCACAGCATCAATTTTGTCAGCATGCTGCAAGCTTTAAATGCTTGTCATTTTTTGTGGGCTTCATGCTAACCACAGGTAATCCTACTTTTGAGGGTGTGTTTCAGAGTACAGTCGTTGAACTGCGGTGTTAGTCTGAAGAGTGGTTGCTAGGTGCGACTCCATGAGTCTTTGCGTAAAAACTCCAGACACACCCCTTAGAATCACATTGTCCCACCCTCCTGTGTTCCCATATTTAAACAGCACTGGGCGAAGCTTGTGATGAAACACCGTTGGCATGGCTGCGAGCCTGCAATTACACGTTTTTTTTGTTTTTTTTTTTTGGATGTGAGGGAATGACTGCAGGGAGAGTCAGTTGGTGACTCACATTCCTGCCCCCTTGATTTCAGCCATATTTACTGACTGACCTCAGATTCCCACACTGATGTAATGGCCCACAGATTTTCACATACCCTGAAGCTAAAAGGGTGCTTCCCGCTGTTCTTGGCCACCAGTGGAGATGCAAACCAGCATCATGCTAATTGGTCCATTTTTGGAAAGGCAGTTTGGATCTTAGAAAGGATCGCACCATGAGAAATTTGAGGTTTTTTTATGGTTGAGGATTTCACCTTTTCTCCCCGAGGTGCATTGATTCTTTCAAGTTTGTGCTCTCTTTGTCCGTTTTCATCTCTTGGCAGTGGTGCTCAATTTGTTGCTTCGTTCTGGAGGTAAAAGCTCAAGCTGCAACAGTTAAAAAAAGCAAAGTGTTTTTGAGCACTTCCTCTGCCAAAACACAATCCCTTGATGTGCTCTCAGCGCCTCAGCAAACCACAAGGAATTCTGTTCCGTAAGAGAAAAGGTTAGCGCCAGCTGTGTGGTATTCCCAGATGAGTCTCTTATGACTGGGAACATCTTTTTGTAATTAGGGACTCTACCTGGCACGGGGTGCGTTGTTTATAAAGTTTGACTTTGAGTGGGATGGGGATGCATGTATGGGGGGAAACCCCGGACAGCCAGTGTGAAATACTTCTGTGTATCTTTTCACTGGATAATGGAGAAAGATATGCATCATTTACTTCCCTAGGCATTGCTAAACAGTCTGTAATTGTTTTTTTTTTTTTGTCAGCTGTGCTCTATCACTGTTGATTTTTTTTTTTTCGTGGGGAGGGAGGAGGGGGTTAATTCACATTCATTCAGCTATATTCATTTGCCCCCTCAAAACATTGTCTCATTTTTTCCGTTCCCCTCCAGTAAAGACCCCTTAGCACCTTCAAAGCAACAGAATCTACTCTTTGTACTCTTTATCTGTGGGACTGCTGAGCAGAATTTCCCCTGACCTCTTGACAATGTTTCTGGCTGGCGCAAAAAACAATTGCTGCTGCACATGGTGGAAAATGATAGAGGACTAAGGTCAGAAATTTCCTCATTATACTCAAAATGTCCATGAAATCCTGTGGGGTGGTTTTGCAAAAATGGCCTATGTTTTTACATGTCATTTTTAATCATGGTGTCAATAACCCCGAAGGCTGGGTGCTTGCCACAAGAAATGTTGTCTGACGTCAGGGTGTAGTCATGAACAATTTGTCTGAAAAATGCATTCACCTCCTGGCTGTTCTGGGTGGTAGTCAATTGCTTATTTGAAACTCTTTGTTTCCCTCAAGGCAGAAAAGTTATTTTTTGAATTTGCCTTAATTCCTTTTTAAATCCCCCTGGATTTTATCAGGTGTCATATCCTGCCCCTGCAGATGGCAAAGGCTCTTGGCACCTGCTGGTGACTTCAATAGAATAACTGTTTTCTTGAGGAAGGAGAAAGACTTCTTTCTTTTATGTCCCTGAACACTACGGGAACTGCTCCATTTATTTACCTGTTCCTGAGCCTATGCGTACAATCTGAGATACTGGTTCTTCAAGGGAAAAAACTAACATACAAAGAGCACCATGGTTCATTGGATCATGACATTTTTAAATGATTCTGTACTCTAGCACTTTGAGTTTGAAAGGATACTATGATAATGCAGTTGAAGAGCAGACTGTCAGCTTTAATTTTTTGCGCATGTTTTCATTCTTATCAGATGAACCATTTAGAAAGTGATAATTTTTGACATCTGGTTGCGTGCAGTGGTTTCTTGAAGTATCTGGTACTTAGACATCACCAAATGCTGGGTATCTTCCCTGGTGATGCTCTGTCAAACCTTAACTGCTGCCATCTTCAGTTCTTGCTGGTTTGGGGGACTTTTTGCCTACAGTCTCCCCTTCAGCATGTAAAATGCATGTTAATCAGATATTGACACCGGTGACGGACTTTGGCAACAGAACCATAACTACAAAAGGTGTCACTGTTCAAAGAATCATGGTGCTGACTGTATATGACTTGATCCAGGTATGAGGAGGTGGTTTAACTGGTTTAAGGGTGGCACGGTGGCACAGTGGTTAGCCTCACTGCAAGAAGGTTGCAGGTTCGAATCCGGCCTGCGGCCTTTCTGTGTGGTTTGCTTGTTCTCCCTGTGTTTGCGTGGGTTTCCTCCGGGTATTTCAGTTTCCCCCACCCACAAAAACATGCATTATAGGAACACTCCAACCAGTACCCCTGACCAAGGAACTGGGTTTAGAACTAGAGTTGGTCCCCGGGCGCTGCGCTGTGGCTGCCCACTGCTCCTAACTACAGGATGGGTTAAATGCAGAGGAATAATTCGAGGGCTGACTGCAATAAACAGTTATGTCTAATATATAACATCTGGACATAACTGTTTATTGCAGTCAGCCCCTAATTACCTCACTGGGTTCAATAAAGTATATCTTCTTCTTCTAACTCTTGATGGAATGCACTTTTCTGCAAACTTTTTCGCTTAAAACTTCTAATTGAGTTCATAATAACTATTGCACTCGAAGGAGATTTACCCTAAGAAGTGTATTTGCACCTATTGAAATACAGAACATTAGTTGAACAAAGTTTTGTTTTAATGAGTAGCCCAGGCTTTATTTCTGCCCTTTACCGTGTCTCACACAAGACATGGTGTCATGAAGATGGTTTTGTCAGATATGTCTCGGCATCATGCGCTCTGTGAGACCGCCAACCTGTAGCTTTAGGCAGCTGCATTATTTCCTTGTGCTGCTAGGTTCTCTCCCTTACACAAAGCAGCTTTCTAGACTTATCATGACCAAGCCCACTGTGGTTGGAAAAGGGTATCTAGATTTAGAGGAGGAATTTTTTATGTGAGTTATGCTTTCCATTTTGGGCTCTGGTCCTGTGACCCTTGCGGTTGGGTCCCTTCTCACAGGGCCCCCTGTTCTTGCTGCCTGCTGGGGATCTGATAATCCGGCGTAGTCCCCACATCCACTTCCTGTGGAGGAGGCTGAGAGTATTTTTAGATTTGCTCTAACAGACAGCATTTTAAAGTCTAAGTTCAGCTCAGACATCGGCTCTCACACCGAGCAGGCGGCTTCCTCCGTGTAAAGAATGCTTTGTGTTACCACAGTATGTAGGAGCTTTTACAAAAAATAAATTCCTGAGCATCAAATATTCTTCTCTGCCTTTTTTAGTTTCTGGCCTTCGCAGATTTGTTGAGAGCATGGTGCCCTGATGATGCTGTAGTTGTGGTATATTTAGTTGTGGATGTTCTTTCCCCTTGCCTCTTGGATGTCCCTCAGGGGCTATATTCTGCACGTCCTGCTATGTTTTCAGTCATTGGGAAGCAGCAAAAACTGCATTGCGGTTAATTTATGGCCAGACTGCTGTGGCACACAGGGTACTATATCAGTCACATAGCTGCTTCTGTAAACTCGACTGTCAGCTACAGCTCTTTTGACGTAGGTATTGTTCTGCTGATGCTGTTTTGTTGGTTTCCGCTGCCAGGCACAAGATTCTCAGTATTCTGCTCTTCACACTTATATTTACGAGGGAAAATTTATATTACTTTACATACATTCTTTTTCTAGCCAGTCTGCTCTTTGAGAAATGAGGCACTGATGGCTTGTATATTTAGCTGTGAGGAAGATAACTTGCTGTAGTTGGGGTCATTTGTTGATACTAATACCTAATCCTGTCCAAAACTGTTAACGCATCAGTTTACTAGAACAGTGCTACATGCATTTATGTGCATGTGTTTGTTCAGATTTTTAAAAAAGAGATTTTTTTTGAGGCTGTGCTGGTTTACCCAGACTCTGTTAACTCAGTGTGACACATGATAATTTAAATCTCTCTGCCTTACTTTATTGTTATTTCCTAGCTCTGTGCTCTGAAAAACCAGTATTCAGCCAGGTTTTATTTAGGAATCCACCAGTATGGATATTGGCTATTGGTCCCATACCTCACAAATAACTGGATCAGGTATTGGAGACTATGGGCTGATTAGGTATCTGAGACCATTATTTTAATGAATAACAATTCAGTACATTTAGTATATTTCTGTATTTATTTGTTACATTTTGTCTTTCAACATTAGGAGAGCAGTTTTTAAATCTAGCCTGATGATGTCTTACACATAAAAGGATGATCCCATCTCTTCCACACTGAGACATACAGCTTATTAAACACTGGTAATGGATTAGTACTCCATATCGACCTATACCCGAAACTCATGTTTTGATATCAGGGCTGAAAATGTTAGATCAGCGCATCCTAGTTTTGTTCAGAACGATGGTCTCATTTCTAATTACTGGAAGGCCAACTGTAGCATTATCAGAGTGCTCAAAAAAGAGATTGAAATGGGTTTGAGCTGCTTGTTGGCAGCTCGGTTTCTGTGTGTATTGTAACTAGCTTTTAGCGCCCATCCGTCTTTTTCCTTGTGATTATGCTGCATTCAGTTGTAACTGGGCACTGAGGCTTTCCAGCCTCTGTCCTGGGGAAACTAAAATTAAATGCCCTCTCGACTCGCAAGTCCAATTCGGAAATGCAGGGCCAGGTTATTCAACTTGGTGATTCTGATATGATGTCATTTCAAAATGGCTCCAAAACCTCTTCACATGTTCCGTCCGCCAGATGCTTGTATTGGCTGGATTAGTTGCATCAGGTGTGCTTATGGTGAGACACAGAAAATACTGGCTGGTGTGCTTGAAAGAGGGTTTGGAAACCACTGGAAAGGTTCCTGCGAGTGCTCGATATCCTTGAAAATGCTTGAATTTCAGTGTGGGGTTCTCAAAAGTTGGAAAAGTGCTTGATTTTTGAGGAAAGTGCTTGAAATTGTAGCATTAATTGCATTGCTTTGCTTTCATAGTAAGTCTCTATCTGATGTAGTACTTTCAGAAATATGCAATTTACCACAGCTGTAAGGTGCTAGGAAAGCTTGTAAATGCTTGAGAAGTACTTGATTTTGACTCTGGAAAAGGTGTCAGAATGCTGCATTGGTGTTATGTTCTTTCATTTTTTACCTCATGTAAACTTGACATTAATTTTCAGCATAATATGGTGTGACCGCTCGAGGCCATCATGTTTTGCTTGCTGTTTCCCTCCATCTAAGCAGGTATGTCCGCAGGGCGGAGCTCAGTAGTCGCCAATGAATTGGCAGGCGAGCAGGTTTTCATCGGCTACGTGAAGGGCTCCTCCACTTCGTCCATTGGGGGCTTCTTTTTTTTTTGTTTTTAATATGCAGCCGAGTTGCAGCTCATTCATAACTCTCCTGCATTCCGTGCCCTATTGAAAGCTTTTTCTTCCCGCGTCCATGTCTTTTTGTCGCTTTAATACCAAAATAAACATATTTTGGTTTGGCTGACTCTTGTCCTTCTCTCTTTGTTGCGGCTTGTGCTGGGGGCGTAACATATGGCTTAATTCATTCAACACGTGTACACATTATTAGGTTAAACTTAGAAAAACAAGCCATACTGTTTACTGCTGTTTCCATATCAGTGTGGTGCTCAAAGAGGCCAAACAAACCACAAAGTGTCCTTGTTTTCCCCACGGTCAACAGACTGTACAGTGGTCACAAATTCCTATTGCCGACTTTCCTGGTCCCAATATAATTGAATGTAGCGTGACCTGAATTACACCAAGGTTGAGCGTACAGCAGCATAACGGCGCTGCACGAATTAAACCTGTCTAGCTGGGTGATTTCTCATTTGCACTTCCCTGCAAAAATTTCCCCTGGAATCAAATCGTAAAAGGGTGTCCCGTGAGGAATGAGGAACTCCTCTTTGGACCTTATGGTTGACCTAAAACGAACTCCCATGAGGAGCAGCATTAGCGGTAATTCCTGCCCATGCTCATGTACTATCAAGAAAGAATGCAAAAGCATGGCCAAACAGCCTATGACAATAGAAGGAGAATTTTTAGGAATGAAAATGCATTTATTAGGTTTACCCTCAAATCACATCCACATTCAATAAATTTAATGAGTTTAGTAGGAGTAATGGACTAAACCAAAGTGCTTCCAGCCTTAAGCTCATCCATTGGGTGCTTGCGCTGGTCTGGAAAGTCTGTAAAGGTATGAAATTAGTTTGGATCTAGTAACCAGTCCAAAGTACAGTATTGATATTGTTAGTTTGGATCTGGTAACTGATCTGAAGTATTATTATTATTGTTGTTGATGTATCCCCGGACGATGAGTCGGGATGCCATAGATCAGCGATCGTTCCGCTGCGTCCATAGAGATTTCTTGTGAGTGCTCTGAAGGGCACAGTTCTTCTTCGATTGATTTCATATTTGGCAAGGACCTTGTGTGTGGTAAGATCATGAAGCCTATCAATTTTGGGAGTGAGTACTTTTGGGCATCTGGGGATACACGTCGACCTGCTGGTGACCGACTGTCTTGTTGTTGTTGTTAATATTATTATTTATCATTATTCTTTGCCTGTTTTTCTGTATGCAACGCTGCCTGCAGCTTTGATGATACAAGCTCCGAAATTACAGGGCAGCTATAGGACATCCCAACTTTGCTTTGCTTGTGCATTTTAGATGGATTGGTCACCTCCTCTTTCTTTTCTTTTTTTTTACCTCATTTTGTCATCCATTTTCACATAGACTGGTAATAGGCCATTTAATAAAACAGCTTTCAATCATTCAGTTTCACAGTGTGAAACATCAAACTTGCCATGTTGCTTCGAGGTGGGCCAGATTTGTTACCTTCAAGTTTGTGTGGTGATACCCCACTCCAATGCCTTCTATTGCATTCCTTGTTTCAGCTCATTGGACATCCATTCATTTTCAAAAACCCTAATAATATCAAAATTCTATGGCTGGAGCCTCCAAACTTTATACGCAGCTTTATGTATACCCAAAGGATGGATGTTGATGTTTCAGTAGCTCTGCCTCCCTCTGTTTTCTTTATTATCACTCTAGCCTGCTTTTAACTCCATTCATTTACCAAGTCTTGCAACTTTCCACCTAAAGCCTTAGGACTTGCTACACTCTTAACACTTTCCCAAAAGATAGACATTGATGTCCCTGTGCCCCCTACCATACATGTACACAGAGACGCACCGAGCAGTCTTCTTCATTTTTCATTGCTCCATCCCACATATTACCCAGGTGGCCAATTTTTGTTCT